ACAAAATTATAATTAGAATTTATACTACACAGAAAATTAAACCAAATTCACAGAATTAAATTCTGTAAAAAATAAAAGAAACAAGAATATAACTTTTATTTTCCAATTAATTTGGAAATAAAATAAAATTTTATTCAACCAAATTAATTCCACACAGAAAATTAATTTTTGTAGCACTTCAAATTAAAATACTAAAACAGAATTTTAAGTAATGAAAACTCAGAAAATTTTTTCTAAAACCCAAAATTAATTTCTGGAAAAATTTCACAAAAATATATTTTGAATTGTTAATGACACCAGTATCGTACTACTAGTTGTTGTCAAAGAAAAGAGACAGTATATTACTACTATCTGTCAAATAGCATATAATCACTATTTGTTTTTCCAACCAGAATATTATTTTGTAAATCCACAGAAAATAATTTTCTTAAAAGAAGAATGAGAAAAGGAAACAAACAAAAATTCTGTAAACATAATAATTCGAATCTGTCTTAAGATTGTTGGAACAATCTTCTGTGTAAATAAAATAAATTGAAATAAAGCCAAACAAATAAATAAATAACGTACCGTATTTATTTATCGAACTGAATTAAAAATTCAAAGACAAAGTCGAGTGTGTGACACTCTGTCCTTAAGATAGATTCGCCCCGCTACGGTGCTTACAGTTTAGTGGCGTCTATCTCCTAGGATACAATGATCTTCAAAAACTTGCAGTAGCACTCCACACAAATTTTTACGGCGAACCAAACCTTGTGTTCAATACTCTCTTAATATTATTCTAAAACTAATAAATGAAGAATAAATGCAGTAGAGCAAATGGACAGCAAAGAGACCAAATTTAGACTGATTTTCGGATTGGAAAACATGCTGGACAGTGCTGGTATATATAGAGCCGAACAGGTGCAGAATTTTGAACTGAACAGATGGGTATTTGAATTGAACAGGTGCTGTTTGAATTCAAACAGATTTCCAAACTGTTTCAACAGATAAACTGCTGGACAGTTATACCCGGAACTGCTGGGCAGTTTCTGGAAGTTAAATAACTGAAAACCAATTTAAATTTGTTGATAAATTTCGGACAGAAGTTGTCTTAAATGTTGGACAAAAAATTAGAATTCAAATTTGAATTAAGTTCTCGCAATATTATTTTGAAAAAAATTCAAATGAATTTTGTCCAAAAAATTAATACAAGAACCGATTCGACCCACAACGCATACCCGCGCCCGGCACAGCTCGGCGGCGGTGCGCGCGCGGGTGTGGTGGTTTAGGCTAAAGTTCACTTTGTCCATAACTCCCCTCTTCTACAAACTTGGGGTGCCCCTTGGAGCCCAACCCATGTGTTGTAGGCTAGAGCTTATAAACTCAACAAAACTCTCTTCAAGTTTCAATGTAGGACAAGCCTCACAAGGAAACCCACATTCAAAACTTAAATGTTCAATTCCACGAACCCGAAAACGACGTCATGTTCCCATTCACTCATAAATGGTTTTGACGAACCGTCTTCACCGTGTGACTTGCCATGCGGCAAGGAACACTTCACCTCTTCGGACCCGCCCCAAAAGACGTTCGGGGCCCACTCAATTTTGGGCTCAAAGTCGGCCCAAAATATGCCTATATTAACCATTTTTCCAACAAAAAGTGGTCAATTCAAAGCTCATAAGAAATAAAGAGATGATTCAAACAAAAAAATTGTGAAGATAACGGGTACAAAGAAATACAGGTGTTCCTTTGAGTTGAGGGCTCGTAAGTTGATGGCTGATGATGATTGGATGGTAAGATGTAGCATGTGGAATGTATAACCATGCTCCTGCTAAACATTTTGAAGGACATTCATTTACAGGGAGATTATTTGAGGAGGAAACATCATTATTAGTGGATATGTCCAAAAGCATGGTCAGACCAAAAGAGATTTTGGTTACCTTGAAACAAAAAGATGCTTTGAATGTAACCACTATGAAAACCATTTACAATGTACGTCATATGAATAATGTTATTGAGAAAGTTGGGAGACCACAGATGCAACAGTTGTTGGGTGAATTAGAAAAACATAATTAAATTGAGCGGCATAAGTGTGACAACAACACGATGACTGTCACAGACTTATTTTGGGCACATCTTGTCAGTTTAGATTTGTTCTGTTCATTTCCAAAAGTGTTGATCATGGATTGCACATATAAGACAAATCGATATCGTCTTCCTCTTCTTGAGATAGTTAGTGTGACATCCAGTAATATGTCATTCTCCATAGCCTTTGCATATCTCCAATTTGAGCGGATTGATAACTACGTTTGGGTGTTAGCTACATTGCGTAGTCTCTTAGATGACATTGTTATTCCTGAGGTGATTGTCACAGACAGGGAGCTTGCTTTGATGAATGCTATTGACAGGATATTTTCGGCATTCAAACATTTATTATGCCGATGGCATATTAGTAGAAATGTACTAACGAAATGCAAGAAAATGTTTGAGAGTAAGGAGAAATGGGACAAGTTTATCTCTTCATGGAATTTTTTAGTACTTTTCTTAACTGAGCTGCAATATAATGAACGCCTTTCTATGCTACGGATTTTGATACATATCTTGAGGCAGCGCAATACGTGTCACAAAGTTGGTTAATTCTATATAAGAATAAGTTTGTTACCGTATGGATAGATAGTTATATGCACTTCGGGAATGTTAGAACCAACAGGTAAAATATATTTGTCTATCTTACTCTATTAGTCATTATGATTTTGATTATTTAAACTTAATTATGTTAATTGTTTTCATTGTACACAGGGTTGAAAGTGTACATGCAAAACTTAAACGACAACTTGGTTTTAACCAAGTCAATTTTGAGTGTTGTTGGACCAAGATTCATAGTTTGCTCGAGTTGCAGCATGTTAATATTAAGGCATCGTTTGAGAAGAGTTTAACCGTTGTACAACACTAGTTCAAACCATCCCCTTTTAGAGAGCTTCGAGCAATATCTTTCTTACTGCATTAGATCATGTCTTAGCGGAGAGTAAACGAGCGGATAATGTTAGCATTAATGCTTCAATATGTGGATGTGTTATTCGACGAACGCACGGGTTACCTTGTGTCCGTGAGATTGTGGATTACATCTGATAGGGTCGTCCAATACCATTTGATAACATTAACCCGCACTGGAGGACTCTTGAGATAGTACAAAAGTTGAAGAATGATAAAGTGAAATTGAGTTGTGAACCAACGTTTGATCTCATACTTAAGCGATTCAATGCATCTGATTATACTATGAAGTTGGAAATTCTATATAAGTTAGGAGAGATTGCAAATCCGTAAAGTACTTTTCTCATTGAGTCGGATGTGAAGCCTAACCCTCGAGGTAAGGGAGATAAGAAGATAGATGTATCTACGCGTCAAGACCCATGTGCATTTGAGTTGGTTCAGTCTGGATATGATAGCCACTCACCTATGGGCACCCAAATTCCCACACAAGATTCTGTCAAAGTACATAAAAAACAACCCGCCAAAGAGAAGGTACATGTAATCATTTTTTACTTACATTTTTGTTGATGATAAATTATGTGTTTTGTTGTTCATGTGTTGATGCCTTCCTTGTTGAATAGGTATATTAGACTCGTACAACTACGACTTATTTATATGTTGATGCCCTCCTAGTTGGATTGAAGCTGTACATACGTCTTATCAAGGATGTAGATGCCGATGGCAATTGTGGTTTTGGGGCCATTGTTGGCTTGATGAGGCTTACAGAGACTGAAAAGGGTCAAGTCAGGCGTGATCTCCTACAAGAATAGCACACACATAGAGACCATTACACTCATCTATATGGTTCACATGACAGGATTAAAGAGTTGATCCATATTCTGTCATACTTTGAGCTCAATCCAGGGCATCACCGTTGGATGACTATGCCTGACATGTTTCATCTTATTGCATCTTGTTATAATGCGGTATTGTACCACTTATCTGCACAACAATGCCTTACATTCCTCCCCCTATGATCAGTGCCAATATCACAAGTTCAACGGCGTGAGATTGCTATTGGTTTTGTTAATGGGAATCATTTTGTCCAAGTATAGCATTATGATTTGTGTAATACATTTATCATTTTTACTGCATCACTCTCATACTTAAAGCTTTGTCAATGTAGGTGTTCATGTTACCGGGTCATCCAGTTTCACCGATAGCTACCAATTGGTGCAAGTTTCATCATTCTTGTGCGACTGGATGGGGTACTGCATATAGTCACCGAATTAAGCATTTTAAAAAAGTTGTTCATTCAGGGATAGCTACTAGAGAGACATTTGATTGTATTAACCTTGATGAGTAATGATGTTTGTGAGTTGAGTTGTAGTTATGCAATTCAGATAGTTACCGATACATTTTTTTTTTTGTTACTGATGAGTTGGATTAAGCTTTTAGTAAATTTAATGCACATGGTACTACTTGTTCATTGTAGTGTGTTGGCTTTGGCATAATACTTCATGTTTATTACCAAAAATACAAATGATGCATACTTGTTCATTAGAAAATTTTGCTAGAGTAATTCTTGTTCATTACAAAACAAGAAAAACATCAAAAGAATACTTCTCTTCCATTACAAAATAACAAAACAAGATTACCACAAAACCAACTACCTATCATCTACTTGTCTTCTACGATTGTATGTTCTAAATGGAATAGAACCAGGCTCAATCTCATTGATTTGTTGACCTTGAAGAACACGTGTCAACCTCTCAATGGCCTCATATAATCTATTTGGCTCACGAACACTAGCATCATGGCCCGCCTCGATGATAGGATGCGCAATCCATAGTGCATAATCAATACGCTGAATTAAGAACAAATACAATTATAATTTAGTACGTGCCATCTTCAAAAAAAATGTAAACAATGTGTCCGCAATATTGTCATACCTCAACATTCTGCATATCAGATCGACTATCCTGTGCACGTGGGTCAAAACTAGACTAATGTGTGGGGTTTTGGATATATAAGTGTGTGATACTTGTATATCACTGCATGTATCCATCAACATAATTAGTTGGACGTCTGACTGGGTTACTCTTCCTCCGAGCAGATAAAACATGATTCTCCCAACTCTCCCATATCTGATCAAGATAATGATACATCATTCTATATCGACCTACTGTGACACCTCTAATAGCACGAATAGGGTCAAGTGGCATAGGTGGGATGGTTTGAACCCTACCAAACTGTCTGAAAACCCTTTCAGGAGGATAGGGTTCAACTACATCCAAACACTTCAAACAACCAGTATAGAATGTGATCTCATGATATGGGTGATATTGATGACAATCTCGATATGGATCCCAAGTAACCTAAGAGAGAAACACAAATGAAATCTTAATGAGTGACATGTAATGAGAACAATTAAATGAACTAATATTAATTAGTATACCTCATGAAATGCCAATCTGTCATGCTCCTCTTGTAATGCTTGTAGGTGTGATACTGTTGAACCAAATTCCTGATGAGGAGTCCATCGATGCACATGAGGAAATTGTATAGTATATTCCATGTTTTGGTGAGGTTTCAATGGCCGAAAATACTCATAAATCCATGCCTCCAACAATGTCATGTAACCAGCCATCTGTTGAGCAGTTGATCTTGTGGCAAATCCCAACTGTCGGTATAAATATGCCAATGCAGCTGCACCTCAAGCATATGTATGAATATCAATCAAATCCATCAACAACTGCAAGTACATACCACTCTTGTCGCTGAACAGTGTACTTCCCAATAGAAATAGTAAATACGTTTTGGCGGCACAAGCTATGGATTCCTCAGTGTCTGAATCTTTGCAACCACTGAATTTGCTCTGTAACCACTCCAGCTTTACTAATTGTCCCCTAGTAGATGATAGCTTCTCAATTGCTTTAGCATCATTAACTCCCAAGGAAGCTACCACAAGTGCATGTGCCTGTTGATCTGTCAAAGTTACAGCATTAACTGATCTACCTATGATAGGGATCCCTAAGATGGTACCCACATCATCCAATGTCATTGTCATCTCACCAACTGTCAAATGGAAAATATTTGTCTCTGGTTGCCATCGCTCAACAAATGTAGATATGACAATCCTATTCACAAACCGATATGTGCGATATACCAAAGAAGATAGGCCTAACTGCTGCACAATGTCTCTAAACCTTCTATTGTCGATTCTTGACCACCACCGCTACTCAAGAATCTTGGACGCATGATTATAACACCTTAAGGGATTCCTCTACTGCAAGTTAAGTAATAATTAACATAAATAATTTGGTTAATAAAGAATTAAATGAATGAAACATGAAAAAAATATATACTACCTTTTGTTCCCATATAGTTGCTACAATATGTGCCTTGAAGCTCTTTAGTACTCATGGATCTGATGGTATAGCGATCCCGGGTTTACCCTCGTTGTACAGTGATCCGGACATGTGTCTGTGGATGTTGGTAGTTGATTATTATCTTGTTTACATCCTTTTTACTTCGGCTACCCCTTTCCCGTTAGGGTACTTTAGCATCTGATGTAGAGTGGAAGAGACTGCTTTGACCTGGTGCAACCACGGACGCCCCAAAAGTAGGTTAAAGGTTGCGGGAACGTCCAAGATATGAAATTCAATGCTGTGTTGTCCTGGACCAACCTTGGTTTGAATTTTAACAGTCCCCATCACTTCTCTGCTGGTATTGTCGTATGCTCTGATCACTTGAGTAGTTGGAACGAAGTCCGCGGGCTTCAACCCGATTGCATACGCCGTTCTGGTCGGGCAGACATTAATAGCAGACCCGGTATCAACAAGTACCTCCGGTATCCACTTATCTCTACATTCCACGGAAATATAGAGAGGTTTGTTATGATTTGTGCCCTCAGGCGGTAGTTTCTTGTCCGAAAAGGTTAATGCCGGGGAACCTCCTCCTGGAAAAACCAGTCCAACCAGCTGTTCAAGCGTGGTATCTATGGAGAGTTTGGACTTGTCCATAGCAGACAGGACAGCTTCCCTATGTACTCGCGATGCCATTAGCAGTCCCCAGATGGAGATGTCTGCTTGTATCTTTTTTAACTGTTTCAGCACAGCTTCCTCTTCAATCTGCTTCTCCTTCTGTTTCTCCGCTTCTCTATCCTTCCCGAATGCCTCGGGTTGGTCCAGGTGTGGGGGTTTGAAGTACCGCCCACTTCTCGTCATATGGTCAACCTCATCGAGGTACCAAGTGTCATCCGGTTGATTATTTCCCCAATCTTCATCCGTGTGGGCAAGACATAAGTCATCGTCTTCCCACCACATTCCGTCGGCAGCCAACAGACACCTGTCTGGCTCCGGTTCAGTTGCACTCGCAGTACTCTCCGTCTTCGTGCTCGCAGCATTCTCTATCTTCGTGCACACGGCACTCTCGGTCCCCTCAGGGCCCTTAGCTTTCCTAATTCTCTCAGCATCCTCAAACTTTTCTCGTTCCAGCTGCTTCAGAACAGCTGGTTGTCCAACAATCCCCGTATTCATAATGCCCAAGTCTCGAGCAGAATTCTTAGCACCGGCGCTCTCCGGCGATATAACTTGACTTCCGGCCTTTCCGGCCACAACTGATACTCTTGCCCCTGCCGGGCCCTATTCTGGTTGGGATTCTCCCACTACATCTGGTAGATCATCGAGCCATCCAGTGGCCTCTGCCGATTCCTCATAGTCGAACCAGTTGATTGCTGTATCCCCTGATTCTTGATCATCGAAAAATTGTAGGTTGGCAAAGTCCTCTTCTACGGCTGTCAGATCATCTGCCCCTTGCTCAAATCCATCTACCTAGATCACACACAGCTCTCCTATCTCTGGCAATTCTATACTCAGCCCAATCTGGCTCGTCGACAAGATGTATTCACTCGGATCATAGACTTCCCCGGCAAAACTCTGTCCAGTCCCAGATTCAACAACCCCATTCTCTCCTGAAGTTTGCTCTTCCCCATCTTCGATGGCCACCACCGTCGGCTCTGGTTGGGTTGTGGAGATGTCCAACATGCATAAAAAGTCAGTGCAGTCGGGGAGGAACACCTCCGGCTTGGGTAGGTGGGTGGGAGTGATATAGATGCTAGGATCGTAAGACACGACCCCAGTTTGGATAAAATTGATTCTATTGGGAGGGGGAGCTTGGTTATGTGGCGGGAGAGGATTGGTTGTGACATTGGGTTTGTCGGGAGGCGCAATCACCTGCTTGTCAATAAGATCCTGGATCTCGTGACGCAATCTGTAACAACGGTCGGTGTCGTGACCGTGTTGTTGGTGATACGCGCAGTATTTTGCTGGGTCATGAGAGGGAGGGAGTGGATTCGGTAGTGGCCTCGGATCCAGGGGTTTCAAATGCTTTTTCCTGATCAATACCCCTAGAGCTTTGGACAGGGGCATGTATAAGGGTGTGAAGGTTCTTTGGCCTCTGGATTGATATTTAGGGGCTTGGTCACTGCTTCCAGATGCACCGGAGAAGGGTGTGGCCGCCATGGGTCTTGGAACGGGAGGGGGAATGGTGGTGACCACACTGACTTCCGAGGTCCTTGTATTTGCAGCGCCACTCGGGCCTGCATTGTTGTTACGGTTGAAAGTCCTCCTCGGTTGCTCCCTATCGTGGTCAAACAAACCTTGTTTCATTGCATCTTCGATTTGCACCCCCATCTCGTGTAAATCTGAGAAAGTAAGAAAGGGGATTACAATCATTCTCTGCATCAACTTTGGGTGGAGATTGCGCACAATCATCCGGACTTGGTCCTTATCCGTGGGCCTTAGAGTCATCATTGACGCCTTTGCCCTCCATTGGATTACGAAGTCCGAGAAAGTTTCCTTGGGCTCTTGCCTTGTCGTTTCGAGATCACGAGTTGTGATCTCGATCTGAGTGTTGTACGAGTATTGCGCGACAAAGGCCTCAGCCATTTCATCCCAATTCTTCTTCACTTCATCCTCTAACTTTGCGTACCAGTGAGTGGCCACACCCGACAGGGTTCGGCCGAAAAATGAAAGCTTCTGTGGTCGCGTCAGGCCCATTGGCCGCAAAATGTCCGAGAACAGTCGGAGATGGACCATGGGGTCCCCGGACCCGTCAAAGCGGTCAATTTGAGGCATTTTGAACCTATCGGGCAATGTTACGGCCACGTCGGTATATCCGTCCTCGATATCCGGGATAGCCTTGACCCCCTGGGACTTCTTGAAAAGCTTCTCAAGTTTGCTCAATTTCAGAGCTGTATGATCAACCTCGAACTCGAAGGGAGAGTCCGGGTGATTGGGTGTATGGATCTTGGACAGTTGTGGCGGAAGCGGGGGCAGAGCTGGCCCCGTTGGAAGATTCGTGTCCTCTTGTAAGTTTTGGAGATTTGGCACAGTGTTCTGGGTGTTAGGTAGAGTGTTCTGAACAGTGGGTGCCTGTTCGGGTAATGGAGCCCCTGGCAGAGGAGGGACTTGATGTGACGCAGATGTCGCATTCTGCTGTTGCAGTCTGGTAATCAGTTCGGCCTGCTGGGCCATGATCTCGGCCTGCTGTTTGGCAAACTCATCCCGGCGAACGGCATCCTGTTGCATAGCTCTCATGGTTTCCTGCATCTGGCGCATCATTTCGTCGACTCCTGTCGGCGTTGCCATACTGCCTTGGTTCGTCTGAACTGTTGGCAAGTCTATTTCTATAGCGGTAATTGGGACCCCAATCTAACTGTCCACTGTCGGGGTAGTCCTCTGCTTGGATACACTGTGCTTCCTCGGTCTCTGCCTGATGACCGGGGATAGAGAATGGAACACTGGCTATCCGTCAATTAGATCCTCGGATCGATTGAGTCGACGACCTCGTGTCCAAAGTGCTTGGGGAATGTCTGTTGGGTTGGAAGTAATTGTGCTGGAACTGCCCTGGCAAAAGATAAATAAAGCGAAAAGGAAATAAATAAACAGATAAATGGACAGCATAACAGCTTAAAATAAATGCATGACACACAGCCTGGCATAACAACACACAGTTGACAAGCTGAATACACACTGTCCTCCAACACTGATTATTATACCCAAATCACTGTCCCCAAATCTGAATCTGATACCCGCAGATAACTGATTCTCAAATACTGACTGATGCCCGCAGGCCTAATATCCACAATACTGAACTGACGCCCGCAGGCCTGATGCCCAAACTCTGTAAACTGATACATGCATTCCTGTAGAGACGCACTCTAAAGCACATAACAGATAAGTGAGAGCCAAAACACCCCTATGTTGGGGTAGGGTTTCCCTGTCCTATTTTGTCAGGAGCTAGGGTTTCACTACGCACGCAGCGGTTTCAAACAACCTATAAACGGGTAAGCAACCTGTCCTAGTTTGGAATGGTCACTATGGATCCGAATATGCACTAGGTCGAAAGGTCAAAGAGGGTGCCCCGGTAAAACCGGGGTTTGTGTTCCCATACTGGCAGAGCCCACAACCGGTCAGCCTTATGGTCATGCCTTGACAAGACAAGCCTCCGGCAAACCGTTCAGGAATAGCAGATGGCAAACACGGTATCCTAGGCGCACCAATGCAAATGCAAATGCAAAGAAACACACAAGTGTAGCCAAAAACAGATATCATGAGTTCGAGTCAAGCTCTCTAAATCCCCAGCAGAGTCGCCAGAAACTGTAACAAGCCCGCGGGGGACCCTCGCTACAGCTCGGACTCGACTTTCGCAGTCACGGTTCTAAATCTGAACCAAAGAGTCCAAATCCGGCAAATCGTTAAAAAAAAGAGACTACATTAGAAATCATGCATGATCTTTAAGTATACAGAGATGCCTAATGCAACACAGGCAAAAATGCAATTATAGCAGGCTCAGCTATTCTAAGATGGTATATGAAATGTTACAACTACCATGTATTCAACTTGGAATTGAAAGTACGATGCAGTTAGTATGGTGCGCCGAGCCCGGTGCATGCGATACAGATGAATGATGCAAACATGCTGTCATACTGTATGCTAATTTAAACATGCCCTAATCTAACCATCAAAAGCGGATAAATAAAAGGGAGAAAGACGTGGGGTTGGAAGACATACAACACACACACGCACACTTATTACAGTTTTGCCCTCGCGCAGAGGGTCCGAATAAATATACAGTCCTGAATGAAAGAATAGTACAGTCCAAATAATACAGTCCAAATAATGTACAAATTCCTAATTAATTAATCAAATTAACTAAGAAAGCTGTAAAACTGGCGTGCAAGCCAGGGACTGCCTTGCTTCTGATGAATGATGCATGTCTGGGCTGCCTTGCGCAGAAATCCACTGTGATGCCCCAATTAGCCTCTGTTTTGTGATTTTTCTTGGAAAGCGCGCCAAACTCCGGAAGTTTGCTGATTCTTCATTTGCTGCAACAGAGAGCAGGAAAGGGGCATAGCAATGTATTTTCACAAATGTATGCATGCCTCGATCCTCGTGCCACCAATCACGTATATCGATGCATGATGACCGAGGAATCGAAATGTGCAACTCAATATGGAATGAATGCACGTATAAACACAACAAAACCTAACTCCATCATGGGTAATCCGGAGTGTCAGTGACTGGGGAATTGAGACGCGTTCCGTCACTCGGAGTACGAAACGCACCTCGTTTCCCTCGCCCGGGCTAACTCCTATTCCGAACGGAATGCAATATGCATGACATGCATGAATGCAACTAAGATACAGCCTAGTATGCACTGTATTGTGAAAATGAGGTGCCTCGAAATGCGTGCACACGGGCACGCAAACCGAGGCAATGTCATATGCAATGCAATATGGCTAAAATGACATATAGAATGCAACATGGACTTATACTAACATGAGAGAGCCTCAGCCACACTCACATAAGAGGCCGGTGGATGAAAATGAAGCACCTCGAAATGTGTGCACACGGGCACGCAAACCGAGGCAATGGCATATGCAATGCAATGGCATGGAAAATGATATGCAAGCATGCTAATGGAATTTCAGCACTGAAATGTGGGGGAAAACAGGCCCGAAATGAGGCGAAAGTACACCCGATGCATGGAATAGTCCCGAAACATGAATTTTGCCACTCGAAATGGCCTATAGCTATACCAAACATGCACAATATGGACATGCAATGAAAATACAGAAGCAAGGAACCCCCTAGACAAGCATTTTTACAGTTCAAAGCATGGCCAAACAGAAAACACAAATAGGGCAAAAATAGCATGCAAAAATGGCCCTAAATATGAGATAATGAAGCAACTCATAGCTGCTGACCCCAAACAGATTAGGGGCCTTCTACAATATTGCACAATATGGACATGCAATGAAAATACAGAAGCAAGGCAGCCCCTAGAGAAGCATTTTTACAGTTCAAAGCATGGCCAAACAGAAAACACAAATAGGGCGAAAATAGCATGCAAAAATGGCCCTAAATATGAGATAATGAAGCAACTCATAGCTGCTGACCCCAAACAGATTAGGGGCCTTCTACAATATTGAAGAGGGACCAAAACTATGATCTTTTACAGTTTATGGAAAACCACAAAAACCAGCACAAGTATAGCTAAACTTCCATGCAAGAAATGGGCCAAAAGATGGTCAAAGCACAAAGTATACTAAATATCCATCAAACAGCCAAAGGCCCTTAATGAAACATGAAGAATGGGCCAAAATAAGACTATTTTCAGTTCTGTAAAATGACCAAAAACCGAAGCATAATAGGCTGCCAAAACATGCAAGAAAAGGGGACCAAAGAGGGATATAACATGAAGTGGCATATGGAGGTCCCAAAATATGAAAGGCCCTTAATGAAACATGAATAATAGGCCAAAATTAGACTATTTTCAGTGCTGTAAAATAACTAAAAACCGAAGCATAAGGGGCTGCCAAGTCATGCAAAAATGGGGACCAAAGAGGGATATAACATGAAGTGGCATATGGAGATCCCAAACAGTGATGAGCCCTTCTTCAATGTTGAAGAGGGGCTCAAAATAATCCTATTTTCAGTTTACATCATGCTCCAAAACAGATCACACGTAGGCTAAAAATACTACGCAAGATAACGGTATTTAGGAAGGATATTGAAGCAAGTGCAATATGGAGGGCTCAAACAGTGTTGAGCCCTTAATAAAAAGTGAAAAAGAGCTCAAAAAAAGGCCACTTTCAGTTAGGGCCGGAGCTCAAAACAGCAAGCATATATGGCTAAGGAATGTTGCAAAAATATGCTTAAAAATGGGGAAATGGTACTCACCCTTGAAGACAAGTCTTTTGTTGCTTCTTGGCTTGAGAAGTGGTGCCTCTTAGCTGCTAGAAAGCCTCCCAAGTTTCTGGAAATGGAGTGGTGGTGGTGGTGCTTGATGGTGATGAAGAAATGAGGTGTAGGACTTGGATGTTTTGAGAAAATGAGAGATAGAGGGAGATTTGGATGCAAGACTTGAATGAAATTTTTTCTAACCCTTAATACAAGAGATGGCAGTTGGTTATACGGACCAAGGAGAGGGGGAGCATGGAGGGAATGGGTAGGGGAAAAGCACCAAGTCCTTTCCCCAAAAGGTGTCCCCCGGATGTAGATATTTCTGGGGGACAACAGCTATACAGCTGTAAAGTGCACATTGTGAGGATCATGGCCGGCCACCTTTTGGAGTTGCAGGTGGCCGGCCGGCCACCCCCCCTAGCCGGCCGGCTAGGGGTCAAAAAGGTCAAGTTGAAGTTTCTGGAAATGGAGTGGTGGTGGTGGTGCTTGATGGTGATGAAGAAATGAGGTGTAGGACTTGGATGTTTTGAGAAAATGAGAGATAGAGGGAGATTTGGATGCAAGACTTGAAGGAAATTTTTTCTGACCCTTAATACAAGAGATGGCAGTTGGTTATATGGACCAAGGAGAGGGGGAGCATGGAGGGAAAGGGTAGGGGAAAAGCACCAAGTCCTTTCCCCAAAAGGTGTCCCCCGGATGTAGATATTTCTAGGGGACAACAGCTATACAGCTGTAAAGTGCACATTGTGAGGATCATGGCCGGCCACCTTTTGGAGTTGCAGGTGGCCGCCCGGCCACCTACCCTAGCCGGCCGGCTAGGGGTCAAAAAGGTCAAGTTGATTTAGTGGCCGGCCACCACAAAAAGGTGTCCTCCCAGGTCCCCTTATCATAACCATGTGGTTCGAATTTGCAAACTGTAAAACAGGAGAGAGAACAGGCCACTCTTAGGAGGGGTTTCAAAGGGTCAGGAAGGATTAATGGCCGGCCACCAACTTTTAGGGTCCTCCCATGTGTGTACATCACAAACATGTGGTTAAAAGTTCAAGAAAATGGCCCAAGGGTGTTCAACATTGGCTCGGAAGTGAGAAAAACGGGCGCCGGAGGGCGAAAATGGAATATAACTGGTTGCTAAGATAATTGCTAGCCTCCCACCCTCCAGTGACCTTCCTGGTGATAAAATAGAGGTACCTGCCTAAAATGAACGAAAACCGATGCAAAACGAATGTTCGGGGGCCAAAACGCGCAGTTCGAGGCCCCGAAAACAGCCTGTTAAACACCGAAAGTGGTATTCGATCAAGAAGTGGGTCCCTCAGACCTCAGTGTCCCTCAAAAGGGAGAAAATAAGAAGTATGCCAAAAATCAGAGCAATAGGAGGTGGTTAAGCGGTCCCGAACCGAGGCACATGGCCTGACGGCTCCGAAAACCGAAAACCGGGCTCCGAAGTGGGCAAAATGGCGTATAGCCACAAAATGTAGCCCACGGCCACTGAGAGATGGTCTACGGGACCTCTCCCTCCCCTCAGGAAAAGAAACAGAGAAAACCGAGTCTGGTTCGCAAACCGAGGCAAGGCACAGAAGAGGGTTCGGAAGTCCGGAGGCAGGGTTCACAGCCGCGACTCTGAGACTTCTGAACGAGCACGATATGCAACGTCACCGAGCGCTCAATCGGTGATGTCTGATTCTTAAGGTCGGTCAAAAACGGGGTGTCTACACAGACCAACTAGAGTTTGGAAAATAACTCGTCAAAATGTCCAGGAAGATGGGCTTTACTAAATAGTTCAGGAGCTTGAGCAGCAGAAGAAACAAATTGGGGCTAAACAATGCCACTAATGACATGCTGACTAATGAAATGATAGTCAATCTCAATGTGTTTGGTGTAATCATAAAAAACATCATTGTGATCAATTTGAATGGTACTACGATTGTCACAATGAAGAGTAGTAGCAATGGAATGAAGTACACCTATGTCTGCAAGTAACCAACAAAGCCAAAAAAGTTTCTGAGTGATGTCAGCCAGAGCGCAATATTCTGCCTTAGTACTAGACTTGTAGACAACAATTTGTTTCTTACTCCACCAAGAAATCAATGAACTTCCAAGAAAGAAACAATAACCAATTGTAGACCAACGATCAGTGGGATCACCGGCCTAGTCAGCATTAAAATATGCACATAACTCAATGGGGGTGTGAGCAGAGTAATGAAGCCCATGAAACAAAGTACCCTTCACATATTGGAGAATAAGAAGAACAACATAATGAGAAGATTGTGGAGTAGAGAAAAACTGATTGATTGTGTCAACTGCATTAGAGATATCCGGCTGAGTAATAGTCACGTAGACTAGACTACCTGTTAATTGTCGATACAGAGTTGCATCAGATACAACAGCGCCCTCTAAAAGTGTAAGGCGAGTATTATACTTAAGCAATCTAGGAGCAGTCTTGCTATCCATGAGACCAGCACGAGATAAGGGATTAGATGCATATGTAGCTTGAGTGAGATATAAGCCACATGGAGTAAAAGAAATCTCAAAACCAAGAAAGTAACTAAGAGAACCCAGATCTTTCATCTCAAAATGAAGCTGAGTAAATGTTTCAACTCTTGAATGCCATCTAGATCATCACCAATAACAATCATATCATCAATATAGAGTAGTAAAAGGTAATACCACGTGCCGTCTTCCGAATCAAAAGTGCAGAATCATAGGAGCTAGAAGAGAACCCAAACTAGGCATTCTCTAGATTTTTTTTTTGTGGCCTTCGTCGTGCTCTTTATGACCTCAAGTAGGCTCCTCGTGCTCGATGACTGTGATATACAGTATCAGAAGAATACTTAATTTGTGTTCTCTTCTAGCTTTTATGATTATGCTCTTTTTATTCGAAAGACGATATGTGGTATTACGCTTTTACTGCTTTATGTTGATGATATGAATATTACTAGTGATGATTTCGATGGCATTAAAGAGCTTAAACATTTTCTGAGCTCTTATTTTGAGATGAAAGATCTAGGTTCTCTTAGTTACTTTCTTGGTCTTGAGATTTCTTCTACTCCAAGTGGCTTGTATCTCACTCAAGCTAAATATGCATCTAATCTCTTATCTCGTGCTGGTCTCATGGATAGCAAGATTGCTCCTAGGCCACTTGAGTACAATACTCGCCTTAGTCCTTTGGAGGGCACTCTCATATCTGATATAACTTTGTATCGATAATTAGTAGGTACTCTAGTCTATCTTATTGTTACTCGGTCTGATATCTCTTATGCAGTTCACATAGTCAGTCAGTTTTTGTTTGCTCCACGATCCCTTTATTATGTTGTTGTTCTTTGTATTCTCCAATATGTGAAGGGTACTTTGTTTAATGGATTTCATTACTTTGCTCACACTCTCCTTGAGTTATATGTATATTTTGATTTTGACTGGGCTGGTGATCCCGTTGATCGTTGCTTTACTACTTGTTATTATTTCTTTCTTAGAAGTTCATTGATTTCTTGGCGGAGTAAGAAGCAAACTATTGTCTCCATGTCTAGTATTGAAGTAGAATATCGTGCTTTTGCTGACACTACTCAGGATTTTGACTTCGTTGATTACTTGTGAACATATGTGTACTTCACTCCATTGCTACTACTCTTCATTGTGACAATCGTAATGCCATTCAGATTGCTCACAATGATATGTGGACACTCCATTTTTTACCGTCCTCAAGACTTGGACGTCATCTTTTGAACACCCAATGATTTCGCATGCTAGTGTTCATTTTGAGTCTCTGAAGGTCTCGGCTGGGCGCCTTCCCTTGGAGCCTCTCAACTTGCCTGTTTTGTGCTTGCTTGTGGACCAAGAGCAAGAGAGGGTGGCTTGTCGGCCATCCCCAGTGTCCATCGGCCAGGGCTTGTGTCTGTCGGCCATTAGTGGTGGCCGATCGGCCACACTGATGGCCGATCGGCTACATGTGTGGCCATTCAGCCACTACTGATGGCCGACGGCCATTTTTCTCCTTTTTCAGATATTTTATGTGCCAGTTGTGCCAACTGTTGATCACTGAGTGTATCCTCCATACACGTGTATGGAGGGATGAAGCCAAGCTTTTGGCTTGTCTTTCTATATAAGGGCAGGTCTCTACCCCATTTTGAGGGTTCAGAAAATTTGGGAGCAAAAATTTCACTCTCTCTCTCTAGAATTTTCTCTCTCTTCCTATTTAGTGCTTGAAAGTGAGTTTTCTCTACATATTTACACTAGCACCCTTAGCCAAACACCTTGACCTTGGAGCTGAGGTTCCTTAAAGCTTGGTTTGAGGTCTTAAGCTTGGTTTTAGCTCAGAATCTTTGCTGATTTGTTGTTGTGCTTCAAGGGTAAGGACTTGTCCCTTTTAAGCTTTGTTGTCATTACTTGTTTGCCACCTTTGCATGCTACTTTGAGGCTGGTTTTAAACTCTAAAAAATTCTATTTTTAAGGTTTCAAAATGGTGGTTTGAGCCTTGTTTAGTTAGGGGGTGGTTTCCTTCCTTTGCTCTTTGGCTTGTAAAGCCTTTTGAGCCATCTTTCAAAGCCTTTTAAAGCAACTTTTTTGAGCCTTTAAACCACTAAATTCCAGGAGAATTTCAGTGGTAAAAAGTGTGTCTTGAGGTCCAAAATAGGAAGGGGTGGCCTCCCCTCCTTGTGTCTTGTTTGCTTGTGTAGATAGCCTAGCATGTGAGCATGCTTTTCTACCTATTTGTGATATGATCTCAGCATGTTTTTGCTACCAATTTAGCATGCTTTAGCTCTGTTTTGAGCCTCCTTGGTCATATGAGTCTTGCCTTGTATGGTTGTAATGTAAAATGCCTTTACTAGCTTTGTATTTTAAGGCCTCTAACATGCTTTGCTTGAGATGATTGCATGATATAGGACCATTTAGCATGTGATTTCAGTGCATATATCTCTGTTATACTCTCACATATTCCACTCTTTCATTGATTTTGGGAGTTGTGCTTTGAGCCTTGTTTATGAGCCAATACATGAGCATGTTTTTCTTGCTTTCTATGCTTCGATCTCAGCATGTTTTAGCCACTAATTTTGCATGTTTAAGCTCTATCTAGGGCTAGTTTGGTCATTCAAGTTTGATATTGCATGCCTCTAGTGTAGTGTGCTTTACTAGTTTGGTGTTTATGGCTTTTGAACTTGTCTTGCATGCATTGCTTGCATGAATTAGTGTCTTTAGCATGCCATTTCAGCACTGAATTTCTGCAACCTCCCTCATTTCTTCATTTTTCTATTTGTTTTGAGGATTGTTTAACCTCAATGTTGTGTTTAAGCTTGAGATAGAGCTTGTGCTCAATGGCTTTAATTCTCTTTTGAGGGTTTCTACTAGCCAAAGGCATGGTCTCTCTCATGCCTTAAACCATCCTTTGGTTGACCCTTCTCTCATTAGAGACCTTTCACATTGGGCTTAACCGGTTAAAGGATTAATCGGTAATGCTAAAATGTATAAATAAAATGACCAAAGTAAAACATGAACAAGACAAGCATTTGTGTTGCATTGCATGTGTTTGGATCGGACGTTAATCCAAACACAAGAAATGTGAGGCGTTTCATACTCAAAGTGATGAAACGTGTCACGTTTCTTGGTCGTCGTCACCCTTGATCATGCATGATAGGGTGGTGACCATTTGAGTCTTATGTGTGCATTCATTAAGCTTGTACAAGCTTGGTTCTTCGGCCATCATCCATGAAAATGCTTGATTGGTGGCTTGAGAGCCAAGTGCCATACTCCTTTGAGCTTGAGAAATGAAGAGGAGTGTGGCAATACACATTTCCTTGCAAATACATTGCTCTGCCTCTGTTGCTCTCTGTTGTAGCAAAAACAGAATTTTGGAAAAAAAGCGTGGCCGACCGACCACTTGAGGTAGCCAACCGGCCATTAAACTAGCCGACCGGCCAGTGTTTGTGACCAACACCCACTTTTTGTGGCCGACCGGCCACCAGTCCATGTTTGTGCAAAAGTGTTCCTGAATTAAGACAGAAGTAGTCTGGAAGTTGGTTCAATTTTCTGAGATTAAGGCAAGTGCAAACAGAGGCATCCGACGGCAAAGCAATGGCATCCTCCTTCGAGAGGGCGTATTGCATTGTTGTAATAAGCATGCGCGTGTGTCTGCATGTCTTCCAACCCCACTTCTTTCTCCCTTTTACTTAACCGCTTTCGATGGTTAGTTTAGGGTCATATTTTGATTAGCATACCTTATGCTTGCATGTTTGCATCATTCATTTGTCTTGCATGCACCGAGGCTCAGCGCATCATTCAAACTGCATCGTATTTCAATACTTACTTGAATACGTGTTTCAAAGCATGTTATCAAGTTGTTGCATTCATATGCCATCTTAGATAGCCTAGCCTATTTAGTTGCATTATTGCATGTGTTGCATTATTTGAGTAATTTTTAAATAGTTATGTCCAAGTTTATAATATTACTGCAATTGTTTTAGCCCTTATAATCCGAACTGAAAAATCTAGAAATCCCCTAGATGTTGATTTGTGATTATGTATCAATTTAAAGCAATAAAACAATCCCAATCAAACAATCAAGACAAATCAACTCAACGATTTTAACGTGGAAAAACCACAATTGGAGCACCTCCAATTGTGATAAAAAACCACAGGCAACAGCCACAAAACAGTCCACTAGAAGATATAAAGGAATTACACAGGTATACTCTCAATTACCTAGTGAATCCACGCCTGAATTGAACCAACCCCTATGTACCTCTTCCAACCCCATCTTCACCTCGGAATTGTCTTGATGATGAGCCACTCCAGAATCCACCAAAGCTTCAGGCTCGAATTTTTCAGAATCCACCGAAGAACAACTCTCTCTTTTGTGTAGAACAAACAAATAATCCTTTGATGTATATTCTTTAAACCATGAGTTGAATACTCAATCAAAACATCGAAGAAAACTAAAAAAATATCCCCAGATATAAACCTTAATATCCAAGAAGAAGATCTGGAAGAGTAATCCTAGATTTGGACTGAAACACGTATTTATAGAAAACTATCCTGCTATCTCCGCTCGAGCATCAGATTGGCCACTCGAGCAGACCTACGCTTGAGCTTGGAAAGTTCCACTCGAGCGGGAAAACACAACATCCAGTATTTTTGCAGGCGAACAAACTTCTGAAACCCAGCATTCTCCGTTCGAGCGGGGGAATGTCCGCTCGAGTGGACAGACAACTTTGAATGCATTTTTGCATTTTGCTTCGGGGGCGCTACCCCTCGACCCCGCCTGGGCGCTGCCCCGGACCCGCCAAGGGGCGCTGCCCCCTCGACCCCCGCGAGCTGACCCGGCAGCTCGATTCCAGTCATAATCAGCGAAATGGCAATCTTGAAAGAACTAACATCACAAAACTTCTCTGCAAGGCACAATTCGGGTTGGATTGGCATCTAAACACTCATAACCTCACTGAGATAAAAAAAAATGTGAAAACAAATACAACTTAAAGGAGTTTTGTCAAACGGGGTTGCCAAGAATAAAAACCTAACACGAACAATTGAAATAACTCAAATTTACTTAATGTGTACAAACTTTAACTTAAATTGTAAGATTATATATCATCACATTCTTAAATCTTTTTTCTGTTCTTTTTTTATTTTTTGGTGTGGATCTGAACTCTCTGTTCAAGTTGACCACCCAAATTGCATCCCTATCGTTCATGAAATTAGTAGTTTTTTACTTGCAACTAACGTTTTATGCTCTCTCACTCTTGCCCTCTTAATTTAAATTATATTCCTTTAAATTATATTCCTTATCATTATAAGAAAGGCCTTTTATTGATAAATCTCATTTAGAAGTGTTCTAACCCAAGAAGTCCATGAAGGAATTTTTTAACCCACTTAGTCCCATGCATTTATACTTTTATTCCATAAAGTCCTTTATCTTGATTTACATTATTTTCTTAGACTCTTATGCCCTTATATTTAATATTGATATTTAATGTTGGAAGAGGAGAGAGAACGGAAAGGATCAAGGCATAGGAAATTTCATACAGAAATTAAATAATATTCATGTTATTATTTTATATTATTATATAATGTGAATATATTTTTAATTGACAACACATTAAAAATAATGTGAACATTCTCTCTTATCTTATGTGAACGTTCACAACACCTTTCCGAAAAATTTTCTCTCATCTAATGTAGTGATGTGAACGTTCACAATATGTGAACCTTCTTATTTTTAATTGACAACACATTAAAATAACATTCATTATATTTTTAATTGACAACACATTCTTATTCACAACATGTGAACATTCTTTCTCATCTAACATAGTGATGTAAACGTTCATATTCGTATATTTTAGTATAGATATTCACATCATGCAATTAACAACACAATAACAAAAAATCATTTCACATTAATGTGAATATAATTATGTGAATATTTATTTCAATTACATGATGTGAATATTCACATCATGCAATTGAAATGAACATTCACATCATTATATTCACATTAATTTGAAATAAATTTTTGTCATTGTGTTTGTTAATTACATGATGTGAGTATTCATACTAAAACATACGAATGTGAACGTTCACATCACTATGTTAGATGAGAAAGAATGTTCACATGTTGTGAATAAGAATGTGTTGTCAATTA